CGGGAGGGCAAGCCGGGGCGGTGGCTTTTGGGGAGCCGCTGGGATGTGGCTTTTGGGACAGAAGACATGGCCAGGAAGGTGAATTTTGGTCTCACCTCTTTGCTGTCAGGTAGAGGTCCGAGGGTGGGTGTTTTTCTGGCAATTCTTCTGTTTCTTGTTCTCTTTTTTCTGACTGGAACCTCTTTGCTCGTTGACGTGAGACTCCTGCAGCGCTGCTGCCCTGGGGGGACTTTCTAGCTGCACTCTCTTCATCTGCATGGCATTTAACTTTCTAGACGGTGCGTGTGTCGAAAAACAAAGAAACAAACAAAAACTCGCTTGTTTTGGACATAAAAAACAAGGGAAAAAAAAAGAAAAAAAAAAAAAAAAAAAAAAAAAGGAAATGTTTTCTCCATGTAAATTCTGAGCGTGTATTTTGCCTTTTCTGTGGTTTTGAATGCTTTGCTCTCTGTCGAGGCAGGGACGGCTGCAGCGCGACACACAGCCACGTCCTTGCAGACTGCAAAACTATTTTCCCACTGGACGGAGGGGTAGAAACCCGAGGTGCTGGGCTGCGAGCAGGCCCGGAGAGGTGTTCCGGGATGTCCCGCAGTGCCGGCCGTGCGGTGGTTGCTGCTGGCACTGTGTGTAGGAGATGCCTTTTGGGGGGCAAATCACGCGGGTTCTCTCTGGTGCCGATGTGCGTCCCCGTGCCCTTGGTGGACCTGTGCTGTTTGGCTGTGGAGCTGCGTTGGCTTGCAAGAGATGGCCCCAAAGCAGGGAAATACATGCAGGGAGAGGATTAGCTTTTAAAGTAGAGTTTGGGTGTTTTTACAGATCTATTTTTTTCTTCCTGTAGTCATGTAGTTTTTTTCATTTCTAAAGGAAGGACTCAGCTCTTTCACAGGTCTTTCTCTCCCTCTCCAGAGCTGGCTCCAAAGCCAGCCATGGTGAGCATCTCATCCACCTCCTGACACCTAGGCTCTCAGGGTGGCAGGAGTGTTGTTGGGGATCAGTGTGAGGTAGATGAGGAAGGAGGAGGTCACAGCAGGGCTCTGCATGGGGGCTGTAGTGCAGATGTCATTTCAGCCTGGTTTTGGAGCTGCCAATAGCTGTGGACCTCGGGTGGGCTGTGCGGGTGAAGCTGCTCCAGCAGCTGCTGCTGGAGAAAGGTCTGGGACAGGGAGTGCAGTGGGGTTTGCCAGGGATGACGGATGAGATGCTGGGGTTGGTACAATCTCTTTTCACCGAGAGCCCACTTTGGGCCGTTGCTGCTAGGGAGGAACATCTTGGTTTCCAGGGAGGCTTTGAGCTGTCTACTTGGAGGCAGTTTCTCCTCTTTGAGGCTTCCCTCCTCTCACCTTTCCAGGGACAGGTTCCTCTGGAGGCAGCTGGATGTCCTTGCAACACCTAAAATGCTCCCAATCCTTTCCAAGGAAAGTAGAGTCTGCGGTTTCAAGTCCTTTCTAGTCTTCCACTCAAGCTGAAGCCTGACCAAGGAAGACCCAACTTCCCAACATGCCCACGTGGGCAGCATTAAGCACCTGCACTTTAGGGGTCTGTTCCGCCTTGTTTCTCTTCCCCACCTCACCCTGCTTCTCCAGAACAGGTTCCTGTATCCCCGGAGCATCTCTGAGCAAGCACTGATAAACCAGTACCCTTTCTTTTAGTAGCCATGGTGAGCAGCTTCTGTCTTCCTTCACCTTTCCTGATTTCTCATAAACTTGCAGGAAAACTAAAAAAAAAAAATATCACCAACTGCTACCATCCTTCTTTGGCTCACACAGCCAGGGATGCTGCCCTTACATTTGTACTTTTAAGCTGTTGGCACCCTCCCTCACATGTACTAACTATCATTGCCCAGCAATCCCACCATGGTCCAGCGCGTATTCCCAATAGGCAATATGGATGAGGCCACCTTGTTGGGATGGGGTTCACCACCACAGACCTCCTGTCCTCAGCAGGCTGTGGCACATTTTAGTTCCTCGTACCGACACAGCCCGACCCACCAGGTTGCCTGTCTGTCGGGGTCAAACCGAACTCAAAGTCCTCCAAACGGATCATCTCTTCCACCTCTCGCAGACCACAGGGGATCTCTGAGTGGAAGCGCTTGCTGTGGTGGTCTCAGGCTCCCAGCTCTGCAGGTGGGCTTGGGAATCGCCTGTTTTCCCTTCCTGGCTGCCAGGGTCCAGGTCCAGCTGCAACATCACCGTTTCTCAGGTCTTGCTGGTGTGGCTGCTCTGGGAGAAGAGGCCACTCCTGGGCCTCTGCTCTTTGCTGGGGGAGTGAGTGGTCCTCTCCTTACCCCAGCCAGGCACAGCCGGGAGAGCTGTCCTTCCCCCTCTGAGTAAATGCCCCCTCTGCCAGGCACCGAACCCCGTCTGACCCCCAACCTGCCTCCCCTCTCTTTGCCCTCCGTGAGCTGATGCCCCCGTGGAGCCCCAGAGGTCACAGCAGGCAGCAGCAGCCATCTGTTTCCACTTTGAGCTCATGGTCTGCTCTGCAGCTCATGGCAGCATCGCTGGGGAGGACCAGCAAACAGCAGTGCCATGTTTGAGGGGGCAGCCACATAGCCCCATGGGACCAAGAGGTGTCTGTCAGCAGCAGATCCCATAACCATTGCCTCTGATCATCCCAGGAGCTGAGCTGACCCTTCTTCCCCACTGCAGGACACATCTCGTGGTATACACTGCTCTCTTGATGCAACCACCATCCTCCTGATAGCAGGGTAGAGACCTCGCCGTTACCCATTTCCAAAGGCGCAGATCCCAGCTCATCCATACCAGACCAGGAAACCCCAGATGTGAAAAGGCTGTGGGAGCATCAGAGGAGGGGCTGGTGGCCTTTCTGCCATCAGTCCCCCAGAGGCCTCCTACTGGGTCCCTGCCACTCGGCTGAATGGCCTTCCCACCCGCAGGTCGACAGGCAGAGTGGGCGGTGGAGGGGGCTATATCGAGCGCCTCCTTCCTTCTTTGGGTTGTTGTCCCTTTTTTCTAACTGTTGCACAATTTTAGGGCTTTTGTAACGTTTTTTTGGACAAGCAGGGAAAATATGTGAACAGTGATTTAAGAAAAAAATGAGATATCTCTCTCTTATATATTATATATATAAAAAATATATATACGTACAGGAAATCTCTATGGAAATATTTATCTAAGATGACTGCAAAAAATATATTATAATTAAGAGTATACCAAGCTTTGTCACATAACAAAAAATCAGGCCCCGGGGAAGGGTAGCTGCCTGTCCCCTCATGTCTGTCCGTCCGTGCGGTTGCAGCTGAAGCCTTTCTCTTTTCTTTTTGTAAGTGCACTCAAACTGTCGAGCAGTGTGACCGTGTTGGATTCAGCGGGAGCTTGATGCAGGGGGTGGGGGTGGGGGACTGATTTCATTTCTTCTTCCTTTGTTTTTTTGGAGCCTGTGGCTGTGAACAGAATGATCACTGCTCAAATCGGATGCTCTGTTTGGGGAGGGTGGCGGGGGGACTGGGCGCGGGGTGGGTGTGGGAGGGAGGGCGCGTGTCAGTTTTATTCTTGGTGTTTCAAGTGCAATAAATAGCTACCAACTTCTGAGCATGGAAATGGATGATTCTCCGTCACTGCAGTGACTCAGACTGTCTGCCACCGCCTTGTCCCCCCGTCACCGCGCTCCTGTCCTCGAAAGCATCAAAGCTGGGATCAAGCCTTGGGCAGAGGCTGCAGGCAGTGGGTGTTTTCCTCCTGCCTGCGGGGTGTGGGTACCCTGTGCTCTGCCTGTGGGATGCTGGTACCATGGGTGCTGTTTGAGGGACTCTGGTACCCTGGGTGCTGATGCAGGGTGCTGGTACCATGGGTGCCACCTGTGGGATGCTGGTACCCTGGGTGATGATGCAGGGTGCTGGTACCATGGGTGCCACCTGTGGGATGCTGGTACCCTGGGTGATGATGCAGGGTGCTGGTACCATGGGTGCCACCTGTGGGATGCTGGTACCCTGGGTGCTGATGCAGGGTGCTGGTACCCTGGGTGCCACCTGCGGGATGCTGGTACCCTGGGTGATGTTTGTGGGATGCTGGTACCCTGGGCTCTGCCTGTGGGATGCTGGTACCCTGGGTGCTGATGCAGGGTGCTGGTACCCTGGGTGCCACCTGCGGGATGCTGGTACCCTGGGTGATGTTCGAGGGATGCTGGTACCCTGGGCTCTGCCTGTGGGATGCTGGTACCCTGGGTGCTGCCTGCCCCTGGCAACGAGCATCCTGGGGGCTTCGGGAGCTCTTGATGTCATCCCCAGACCTGACTCACCCCAACCCGGGCCTTTTCCCAGGGACAGGGCTCCGGGGGCTGCAGGTGTCTGGGAGACCCCCATGAGCTGCCCGGAGCTAGCTGGGAGGTGGGGACCGGGCTGTCACCCTTGCGTGCTGGGCAGCAAGAAGAGTTTGGGGGGAGCTGGTGCTGCAGGGTGCGGGGCGCAGAACCACCACCTCCACCCCCCCAGCCCCCCCGCCTATCCCGGATGGGTTGGGGGGGTGGCCCGGGGGCAGCTGAAGGGCTGGTCCCCTGGGG